ATCTTTCAGTTTCATTACCGCGGCCTTTATGCACACTGCCACTCTACCAACCCACACCACTTTAACCACTATAACCTATTATAAGACTGTGAAGCCATTCTTCTCAGCATGAAAACAGCTTCTCCTCACAGTGTCTTTATAGGTTTGTTTAGGCCTCTGGCCAACACAACAGGCAGCTGAAAGTTCTTGACCTTTTGTCACCTAAACCACATTTAGACACTGCATATATTTTCTGTGGTGGCCAGCTCAATTGGAACCATCTTGTTGGTTCTTTTTCCCATGGCCAGTGACAGCAATGTTAGACTAAACAAGATATCATTCATTTTATTGTTTTTCAATATTTAATTTTAGTTTATCCAGAAACATTATAGCTGTGAATAGTTTATTCCATAGTAGTGCGTACATCTTTGAATTGTCTGTGCTCTTTTATTGCCTCATCATACTATATCTCCCCCATCTGACCTGCACATACTGTAACTGTCATCAACTGCCTACTGTTGAGCACCAGTCGATGTCACTTGTTAAAAAATATCTTTCTGGATACTTTTTCCACCTTGATTCTTCTGTGAAAACAGCTTATGCTGGTCTGTTTCTGACACTCGCTAAGCACTAACAAAGTAAATGTAGTGTGAAGACAGTTCTCATCATGCAAGAATATAAAGTAGCAGTGTGTATGATGGTACTAGAACAAAGAGGATGCAGGTATGCATAGTTCCCTGACATAGTTCATATTCTACTTATGTAAAATGCATTGCAGCAGACATTTTTTTTTACTTTGCATGCATTTGCATGTTGTAGAGATTGATCACTCTTGCTATTCAGGATAAATCAGTTTGTTTTGATTGAATATTTGATGCTTTTCCTGGGCATACCACTGCTAATGAAGGCTTATTTAATCTCAGCACCAACAGATTTGTACAATGTGATACAGGGTTTCAGATTCAGACTGGATATATTTAGACAAGTCCCCTTTATCAAGAGAAAACCAGGACAGTTTTATAGTTTAACAGGGAACATCCAGACAAACCAGAGAGTGTGTACTCAGTATAGGGTCCCCCTGGTGATTCTGGCCAGCTCTATGAACAGTGCCAGAAGTGTAGTCTTATTGATTAAGTTGCACAGTGTGCAATTACTGCTGAGCCACATGATAATGTCATTCATCCCCAGTGAAGATAAGGGCTGGTAGTGTTGCTTCAGAAGCTTCACAAGCGTGTTGCAGTCCTGCGTCCTAACATCTGTCCTCAGTGAAAACTAGCCAGCACTATATTTAGCCCACTCACCCAGCTTTATATAGGTCAAGAATCCCATCTACACTTTTCACTGCTGCACTTCAAGTCTGTAGCATTCTTGTTGCTTGTGTCGGATCCTGGCAATTAGTTTTCTCTGACCACTCCCATTTCACAGGAAGCACAGAACCTGAAGCTGTCCTGAAGGACTCCTAAATCAAATCTTCTGTGGGCAAAATTCAGACCAAAAAAACAAAGCACTTTTTCCAGGTCTTGCTGTGTATTTTTACTTTCCCACAGATGAAGTTAATATCCCTTGTGAGGTAAAAAGCCAGTGGTGTTTGGCTTCATTTCTGTGGCTGTCAGGTGTTTTCCTCTTTGAGGCTTTCCACAGAAAAAAGCACCTGACAGCCACTGAAGTATGTTGCTTTGTGATTTGAAGTTGTTGTTTTTTTAATGAACTATCCCTACTCAAGGGCTGTTACATTCAAACCTTAGAAAAATGTGTACAATTGTCCTTCCCTTGGCATCACTGTGTAGGTTAGAGACGGCTCTATAATTATTAAGAGACTGGGTCTCGGGGTGGTGAACAATCTTCAGCAGGGTAGTTCACAAACCTGTTTGGAGATCTTTGAAACGTTTAGCTGATAGAGGATCAAGGAAGCAAGCAGCAGGTTTAGAAGCCAACACGAGCTTTGACAATGACTCAAGAGTGTCTCAAAATTAGTTTAAAAAGACTGATGTTCAGTTTCTGCAGAAGAGGCTAGAGATGATGAACCAATTTTGCATCTAATCTCAACTCTATTTAATTTTTTTGGTTTCATTTTTTATTTTATTTTCTTGTTTAATTTGTTTCCTGGTTTGTTGTAAAGAGAAAAAAAGAAAAATGCCTAAAAAAGTGAGCCATACAAGGTGAGCAGCGAAGAGAGGTCTGCATTTGTGTGAGTTTGACTATGGAGTCAAAAAGAAATGTGGGAGTAGTTGGTTGCAAGAGGTGCAGCTGAGTCCAGGAGACTAGACAGAGATGTGTTTAAGTCACTGGTATAGTTTTCAACAAAGCTTGTTGTTGTGACAGAAGCCACGGCTGTTGGTAGTCTCTCACCAAGAGCAGTCGTAGTTGACGGAACAGTGTGTCATGTTTCAGGTACGACACAGTAGTGCCACATATTCTACATTCACATCTAATGGCTTTCTTTTTCAGTTATAAGACAAATTCTGCTAATGTTTTCCACTAGGGACTCACCCTGGTGAATGTCTGTTTCTCATTTAATCAAATACACTTATCCGCATTGTAAGGGATGTCAGATTTTTTTGGAGCACAAATTGCAGTCTGACAGACTTAAATTCATTGTTGTAGTGGCAAACTCTCACAAGGTGCTGGGTGTCACTGCACTTAATTTGTCTGTTATGTTTTCAAAAACTGTTGCAGTCAATGTTTGTCAGGCAAACTGAAGTTTTGAACTTGTGTATTTTTGTCACCAGAATAAATTTGGCTACATAGATTTATAACTGAACATAACACAGCAGCTTTTGCGGTGAATACTATGCTACTAATTCACTGAACACTGACAGGAAGTAGACAGAGCAGGAGAGTTTTATTTCATTCATATAATTTATAGCATAGGCTCAAGTTAGAGCCATTTCTGTATAGCACCTTGTATATGCACTTAATATATATGACTCATGCATCAGAAGCCGATTAGACCAGAGGGGAACAGATCACTTATTTGAAACAATTTACACTGTAGGTTCCTGTGTTGGAAAATGTTTGGAAATTGCAAGAGATTTTGAAAAGAAAATAACAGTTGAATTTAAGGCACTTCCCTTATAACCAATTATTTTTTCAGTGTTGCAAAATTCACAGCAGACATTTTAAGCACATTATTTTTGTCACTTTAACAAAGCCATCTGATTAAGTGTTGTCATACTGTAAAAGTGATCCTAGGCCAATTAGATTTAAAAAAAGATGGGCTCGCAGGCAAAGAACAATCTGCAGATTTGTTTCCATGCCAGCTCCAACAGACGGAAGGAGAGGGGTGGAAGAGGAGGGAGTCAGGGAGGGTAGGGGAGTGGAAGATAGGCTTTTTTCATCCCTAGCTCTCAATCAGGACCTTCAATGTTAATTCGAGGTCAGATCATGGGCATGCTAAAAGACTGTCCTTTGTAAAAAAATACATAAATAAATAATAAGGCATGCCACTGCAGACCCAATATTTTGTCAGGATTTTACCATCTCTGCTTTTTTCTTCACTTGATTTTTAGCAGACTTTGTACAGTAAGCCAGCAGTGAGATGACTGAACTAATCAAATTGTCTCTGCCCCTGGAATGAGCTGCAGAAGAGATCAATTCCTCACAGACAATAATATATAGACATTGTATTTGAACAAGTGCTGAGTTTATTTGTGGCTGCAAATAAAAAAAAATCATAATATATCTCTCAAAGGCATAAATCAGTGATATTTAAGCAGTTCTAAAAAAAAGTATTCTATATCTGTTTGAATGGAGGTGTCATTAGTTGATTGAGGCAGAGTAATCTAAAGAATAGAGGGCCAGTGTAACCCCAAAGGTTTGGCTAGGGAGAACTATTACTGAATGTGATGCATGTTAATCTCCATTCCCTTGATTACGTGTGGGCCACTGTCAGTACATACTGTTTGTTCAAAGTCAGGGTGACTTTCTGTTACCTTTCTGTTGCACAGAGAATCAGAGGAGGAGAGAGATGATGGGGAATGGGCGGAATAAAAGAAGAGCAGAGGAATAAACACCGAGACAGGTGTTTGGCAAGGGACAATGATTAGATTTATAAACCAACTTGTGTTATTTTCTCTGCATGGGGACTGCTGTCATACATTAAGCACTAACTGAAGCTCCCTCTGTCCCACCACAGAGACACTTCTTTCTCCTTCCTACTTGAGCTCTCAATCCACATCTCCTGTATTCCCTCCCATTCCTCCCTACCTCTCCTCAGCATCTCCTCTTCCCTTTCTTCTTTTCCCTTGGGTGAGATTTTCTTCATCATATCCAACCAAGATGGATCGGCCCTGAAGGTATCCTTTTTGCTGCTATCATCATCCTTGCTTTTCTCCTCCCCAAGCCTCCCCGCGGTCTCCTCAGACTGTTGGCTAGCATACAACATCCAATATTTTCTCCAGCTGGAGTGGAACTGAATGCATTAGAGATGGGTCTGTTAAGGTGATCAGACTTGTGCCCTCAATGTCAAGGGATCATTTTTCCTCATTTGAGAGAGTCTGTCTTGCTGCCAATACTATAGATTTTCTATCAGCTCCTTAATCATGGCTCCATGATTGGGAAAGTGATTGGTCGGGCTCCCTGATATGAAAACTCTAGTATCAATTTCATGTCTGTCAGGGCACATAACCTGGGTTATTAGACTGCCATTTGAACAGTTACCCTTTATGAAATGTTCCCTCTTTCACCCCCATCAGCTTCCCACTGGAGCAGGCTTGACTTTATACTGTGTGCAGACTATTCTGCAAAGTCTGTCAGAAAAGGAAACTGACACAATTCAAGCATCTACTGTATGTCCTGATTCCACTTTTTAGTCAAACTGCTTAATAATTTCACAACCTGTTCAAGGCTGGAAATAAGCTTATTAGGTGTGGTGAGCTGTGGGGCCCAAACATGGAGATTAATATTTGTGAGGCTCACAGAGGGGTAGTAGCCAGAGGAAAAAAATAGACTTATTATTCAACAGATGAAATAAAGAGGCTAATGCTCAATGTATGTTTTTCTCTCTTCCTGTTTCGCTTTAGGTCATCTGATGGTGTGTGTGCAGCAGGAACAGTGGTGGTGAGTCGTCTGAAGATGGGGGAGATGGAGGAGGTTGGCGTAGACCACATTACCACCGACATACCATCACAGAAGGTAAAACAGCAGTGTGACTAGATGAAGACGACGTCTCTGGGCACTGTACTGTATGTCTTGTGAGCTCTATTGCTAAGATTACACTGGCACTGCTCTGCACCTCCAATGAAATTTAATGAACTCAAGTAAACCCTAATGGGGATTTACAGAATGCGTGCAAGTGTAGTGTTGGTGTCTGTGAGTATGTTTGCATTTTGCGTCTCTATCATACACCTCCAGTCAAAACATTTGACTGGTGGTGTATATAGAAAATATTCAGGAGAGACTGAACAAATTATCATTGTGACACACTTGACTCTGTTTGCATGAGATTTTTGTAGTCGATCCTGAAACCTTGATTCTTTTAACCTAAGATATTTCCTGGATGTGGTTTTCTCATTGCTGCTACTGCCCCTTCTCCACTCTAATCTCATATAAACACACCACTTTACTCAGCTGTGAAGTGATTCACATAATCAGTGAAGAGAAAGAAAGAAGAAAGAGTATTCTCCTTCAGAATTTGAAGTGAACCTAAGATTGTCATTCAAATGGGGTGAAATGAAATTGCCATATTCTGATATCACTTAATTTTCTGTACATTGCTAATGGAGGCAGATTTTTTGAACAGTGGTTGAGTATAAACGGGTAAAGAAGGAGCTTTAATGATGTTTCTGATCTATAAAGGGGGCATTCTGTTTTTTTATCTTCACTGCAGCTCTGCAAGGCAGCATGAAGCCTTGCAGTCCCTGCCTTCTGTTGATTTCTGGTGTGTGTGTGTCCGGTATTGCTCATATTGTGAGGACCAAAACCTGTTTACACACTCAGATTGTGGGGACTCAGCCAGATGGTCCCCACCATGCAAATTACTGAATTTTAGAGTGAAGACTTGGTTTAAGGTTAGGGTTATGGGTAAGGTTAAGTCTCAAGGAAATGAATGCAACTTAGTGGAAAGTCCCCACGAGGAATGAAAGCCAACGTGTTGAGAAAGTGTGCTTGAGAGAGAGAGAGAATCAGTGCCTTGTTTGATTGACCAAGGGCTTCTACATGGCTTACTGACTTTAGTTTCTTTCCACCCCTGATGCTGGTGCAGGGAGGTTCCCTGCAAGGCTCCAGAGTGTCACTGACAATCTACCCATGTTGCCTTGATGAATGTGTTACCCTGTGTGTGTGTGTGTCTGTCTGTCTGTGAGTGTGTTGTCACAGCACATTTCCCCCTGTGTGTGTTGTTTTTGCTGTAGAAGATGAGGGTAGGGAAGAGGGAAGGAATATGGCAAACATTAGAGATGGCTGAGACTCACCACTTACTTGTGGGAAAGTTCTTGTTCAGTTTACCTTAGTTGTGTGTACAGTATGTCTGGCTGCCTGAAGGTACCATTTGTCTGCAAAAGCGTGTGCTTGTGTTTGTCTGTGTGGGGGTGGAGGCCCTTGTTTGATCATTCCTGTCACTGCTTGGGTCGCTGCTGCTCATGAACATCCCACTGACCCTGCAATAACAGTCAGCTGAAACAAGAAAGAGACTCTAGTCACCTTTGATCCAATGTCTTTACATATTTTAGTCATCAAAGAGCCCTCGGACACATGCTGTCTGTTGCCTGCAATTACAACGGGACTGGTTTCACTTCTGTAGTCCTAGACTCATTGTTAATCCTTTCCATTAGCATGCCGACATTTCCAGATACCAGTTGTTCAGTGGACACATTTTATTTAGGAGTTTGTGTGTGGGAGTCTGTGTGTTGGTTGGGTGTCTGTTTTATTCAAGATCAGTCTCTGAGTTATAGGAGAGGTGATGGATTTTTCCTAGCAGTCATTAAAGTCCCTTTCTGGGTACAGGGTTTGGCTGTCTAGCTGGGTTAAATGGTTTATCAGACAGGACAGAGCTGATATACAGCAGGCAAGAAAGATTGTTAGTTGTCAGTATTGCTGCGATGAGGAGTACCAGACTTAAGGGATCAATGACCAAGCAGACGCAACAATTTAACATAGGCTGCTGCTCAGAACACATTGTAACTCAGATATTAAAGCTGTGTGGCTTCCCATCTACAGTGTAGAGAATGTGTAGTTGACATCATGCTATGTTGAATTTTGGGTAAATGCCTCATATTTGGAGCATCACACTCATTATCAATCATAGATATATACACTACATACATCTATAAGTTAATTTAAAAAAAATACTATCCCATACAGCTACATACAGTAGCAGATGTTTCAACTACATCCAAACATCCATTTTAGTGTTGACAGAAACTGATTCAGTGTTTGCATCATCTGCTAACAGCTGCTAGCTAGTGTTAGCTCCCAAGCTGAGACCTCAAAGTCATCTTTCAGTCTGTCGCTCTCATAGACGGGATCTCTAGGTCCACTTCAAGTTAGCTACAGTCAGTTAATGCTAGCCATGTTGATTTACCACAATCAGTAAAATGAGATTTAAATGATTTAAGCGACTTTTTAGACAAACAAAACAAAAATATATGCAAGTAAATAGAGTACGTACCTCCAAAAATGGCGCCCGCGTCTCAACATTGAACACGATGTGATGTACCTTCACTTTCTTTATACTAGGTAAGGTCACCTAAATCAAAAACACACATGGAGCACAGAAAATTATTGCAGTTGGTTGTTGTATTATCTCCTTATTTTTGGTAACGTGGTTATTCTATATACGCAGCATACTGTACTGTATATCAATGCATTATTTGAAATTTACTATCAGAGGAGGAAACTACAGCATAGCGAGCTGATAAAGACTGAAATGGCAAAATGAATTAAACCCATCATACAATCAGTGTATTCACAGCAGGTGTTTTCTTTCAGATGTCACCTGCTGTGACCTCACTGATTGCACTGCATGCACAAATGCAACATGCTTGAACAGCTGAGCTAAAAAGAGAACAGTGCAGCAGCTGTTTGCCGTTTGTGGTTTTATATTGGTCTAGTCTTTAAATGTACTGTAGTGTTTGCAATATGCTTATAGTATTTGGTAGCAGTTATTTCTGTCTGTTTGACATCATAACATGTTGTTTCATTAAAATAAAATGACAATGTTAAAGTAATAGTGAAACGTAGATTAAGAAAGCTCGCATTAAAGCATTCATGCATGATAGCTTTAGTTATGTTTCATTTTCGTTTCAATGTCCTAATGTGAACAGCTTTCATTTCAATAAAAAATAATTGGATGGTTCAAAATCTATGTGAGCTTTGTTGTTGTAAAGCTAGCTTGGATCAAACTAACAGACACAATACTCAGGGGAGCTACTGACACTGTTAAATTGCTTCTGACTGACAAAGCTAACTTGGGGTTTTCATACCCAAACTTCATGTAAGCTACAGTGTCTGTCAGGTGAAATATGGCTCGCACTCGCTTATATGTGTGGTCATCTCCATTAGTTATTGCCATGATCAAAGCCTGTTGGCTCCTCAATATAGCTCCCATCACTGCTGTTGTATGGGAAATTTTGATGTCAAATAATATTTGCTCTCTGTCTCTGTCTTGTTCTTTTCCTTTTCAGTGTCCCTTGGTTTGTGAGTCTGCGTCCCATGCCTGTGTCGACAGAGAAAATAACCTACTGACGGGGCCGGGTATGATTCACAACTTGTACACATCTTGTTCCATTCATTGCTAAATAACATGACAGAAAAAAAAATCATTTTGTTTGGTAATCGCCTTGCACACACAGTTTACACAATTATTTTTTAGAAGAAAATGACAAAAACTCTTTTGTAATTCAGCATCATAAAGCCCCTAGATGCTAGCTAATATGTACCTAATTAACTATTTTTTTAAAGTCTGACCTGCCTGTTCTGAGCTTCTTTGTTTGTAAGAGCTGTAATTAACAACATACACAGACACTTTTAAACTTTTATGTAATGAAAATTTAAATTGTAATAAATATAAAACATTGCATTAGAGTTTTACATTTTCTAGTTTTCTCACTTTTTTAATTTTTTTTTAAATTTTATTTACAAATCTCCAACTAAAAGTGAAGTGCAGTATTTGTACTTCTCCAAATACAGTGGAACCTCGGTTTTTGTATGAACTACTTTTCGTACGATTCCGTTTTCGACTACTTCCAAACAATAACCTCTCCTCCTCCCTCTCCCCTCCTTGCGAAAAAGAGTCTTCAATAAAGGTAAAAGTGATGTTATTAAATGTTCATTTATCCACTTCATTAATCATTTATATTTATTTCTCATTGTTTTCTGTATGTAAAAATATAGTTATTCTCTATAAAATGTATTTTTTGTTAATATTTTTTGGTGTCTGGAACGGATTAATTGGATTTACATTATTTCTTATGGGAAATATTGCTTCAGTTTTTGTACGATTCGGTTTTCGTCTGACTTTTTCGAACGGATTAATCACAAAAACCGAGGTTCCACTGTATGAACAAGTGCCACAGGTAATAGAAACAGGAGAATGTCTTTTTCATCAGTCCTACTGAGCCCACAGTTCTTTAGGAAGCGTGTGTAGCTTGTATTTGCTGTGTTTTACCAAAGGTTGGATACACTGTACATATTGTAGCGAGTAACTCTCTCATTGTGCACTATTTGTTGGAAATTTGGACATAGTTTTCCTTCTCCAGTGTGTTTCTTTGGGCTCCCCTGTGCACTGTTTGTACACCAAGCGCTTCCTATGCGTGAGTGAACACATGTCTGGTACAGACATGAGTGTGAGTCTCGCTCGAGGTGCATGCGAGATGCTACAAGCTGCCCACACTACACTTTTGGTCTGTGCGACTATGTGCACAACATGGACTGTCCTGCCTAAAAACCTGACCGGCACAGAATTGGAAATCTCAGAGTGATCTCCCGGTTGCTGGTCAAGGCCGATCACATTGACATTGATCAGGCCGTTTCTGATCTCTGCCAATTCATAGGTGCATCTTTATAATTAACATTAATCTGCTCTTGGTTAACCTTTGTATTAACAAGATTTGAGGCATCTCTGAGGTACTGTATCCTATTCGGTTAAAGAATTTGTGTTTCCTGTTTTGAATAAATAGAAGCTTGGAGTTTTTAAACTGAGAACGGAACCTATGCAACTCTTTGTGGTTTAACTGTAAAAAAGATGTAGTCCTAGGTGCATGAGCCTAATACAGAGGAAACACAGAAAGCTAGCTCTCTCAGTGGTAAGGAGAGACTAACAGAGAGAAAATGAAAGATGTAGACAGAAGAGGGTTAGGCTTGAAAAGGTTAGGACTCCTGTTGTTGAAAGTTCCCAGCCCTTGTTCAGAAGGAACTTGGGAAACTAGTTTCCTTTAATCATCTTATTTGTTATACATATACATTTTCTCATTTATATATATTCCCACCACCTTCCTAACCTCCCTGGTAGCCTATTGTCATGGTGTCATTGTCACTTATCATTTCTACTGTGACTAGCCAGTGAACAGCAGCAGTGTTTGCAGGTGCACATCTGTAGCCCATCAAAACAATACCCTCCCTGCAGACTCCGCTAGGTTGAGTAATGCAATTTAGTCTTCCACTTTTATTACCTTTCAAAATGAGCATACAGAGAGCAGGGAGATAGAGGAGCCCACACACAGCACGTCTCAGGAAGTCATTTTCTTGAGAGATGTCAGAGGAGGAAACAGAGGCGTCTGATTCGTGGACAGATTAGTGTGATGGCAGCGTGGGTTCAGGGGTTAATCCTCTTCTCTGATGGAGGTGGAAGTCAGCAACTGTCACTCTTCAATTTAAGGTCATGCCTTCATCCATATGTCCCTTGCTTCATCACCCATTTCACTTCACTCTAATCCCCATACTTGCAGTGTCTGAATATCCCATTTCATTTGGAAGCAATTATAAATTGTTTATGGGGTCATTCTAGGGCCAGTCTTAACTTTAATTGGCATTCATTTAAACATAAACTTCAGCATCCTAGAAAAACAATAATAAGCCTCTCTACAGCCTGTTCAGCTCACAGTTATTGCCCTTGGGGGCATCTTTATTGTCTGCATGTGTATGGGTTTTTATCCATACAAATTATGATTGATCTTAAATTAGCCTTTTCAATAAGGTGTAGCAAGAAAACTTTCAAAATGTTTATGCTGTTTTGATGCTGAACATTTGTTTGTTAGTAGATAGAGTTATGGGATGTACTTATGCAGAGGTTCAGATGTTCAAAAATATAGCCTCATTCCAGATGTTGCTTCATTTGTAGCACACTCATCATGGTTTCTACATCTGGCTATTAGTTTGTCCATTTCAATATTAAGTGCATAGTTTTCAAATTTAAAAAGGAAGGATAGTATTATTCTATGTTTTTCTTATTGCAACCAAAATCCCATAAAATGAGAGAAGCCATTACTTGGTTTCTTAAAGCCTCCCTACTTCTTGTCTGTTTCTATGACCCATCAACACAAAAAGATGGGATCTTATGAAAAAAGATAGGGATGGAGCAGTAAGGCCTGTATGTGATCGTAGTGTTAAACAGATGACAGGACAAGGTTTAGTTAGGGGAGCAGTCTCTATGCTGTCAGTAAGGGGAAAAGTTTCCTCCACTTTTACTGGTGGTGTGCATGTTTGACTGCCTAGAGCGCGATCGTCAAACTTTCACCCAGGATGCTCCAGCTAAGTGGTTTGCTGACTGTAGTTCTGGAAATAAAAAGTAGCAGTAAACACTGTTCGGGGCACACAGTGTGCTTGCCCTCTGCTGCCAGCATGCAGATAAGAACATTAGAACTGTTTTCATTCCCAACATTTGATTGCTGCCATTAGCCACTCTCTGTAAAACTGATGGGGCTGAATTTGGATCGGTTCTCATAGAAGGTTGGGCGGTGGGGTTACCAGTCAGAGCTTCTGAAATTTTCAACTGTCTGTGCCCTACTGTTGTATAATAAACAAGCAATTAAAATGGAAATTAAATGGAAATAAGAATACAGCAAAGATTAACTGGACAAGGTCTCTGAATTTCAGTTTGCCGTGATGCCACTGAAGTAGAACGAGCGAAGGCTTTGGAGGATGAGCAACGCCTTATCTATGGCAGACACAGTTATTGATTATAAAATTTAATTTGTGCTTCATACATCTTGTGACTTTTGAAGAGTTTCTGTCTGCAGTGTCCTTGAGGTTGCCAGCTGTCAAAGTCATTTTAGATCCTCTGCTGTTCCTTTGTTAATTTTGAAAGTTACAGTGATCTTTGATGATGATCTTTGTGACGTGTTTTTCTGCTGTATCAGATGGTTCTTTCTTCCCTCCCTTTGTCTCCCTCTCTCAGTGTTCAAGAACCCAGTATGCAAGGTGTACAGATTTCAAACAGTGGACGGCAAGTGGATGATTGTGCGGGAACAAATGGAAGAGTGCACATTGTCCTTTAGCATCCCCAAACAGCTGCTCTCACTGTACATTCAGGAGGACACGCGTAGGTAAGCCTCTCTGAAATCATAGTGTTGATCCTGTGGATCTCCCTGCCTGATTTCTCATTGCATCAGATATCTTATTTCCTGCTTCCTGTTCAGCTAATAAGCCAGTGAAGAACATTCAGTTGTTACAGTATATCATTATGTGTACAATATGTGTGTGTAGCATCTAGACGGCCTTTATTATTCACCTCACTGATGTAAATGATTATTTAAACTATATTTGGAAAGGAGTGAATTATTCAGATCTGCTTATCATTTCAAAAGAAGATTCGGTGCTCATGCATTCAGATAACAACAAATACTGTCTCTTTCAAACACGGACTCATGCACACCTTCCCCCAGTTTCCTCATGAATCGCTGTATTTACTTTTAATTTTTAACCTTTATTTAGTCAGGGTCAGCCTACTGATAGGCCACCTCACTGTTTTGGGATCATATTCACCCAGTACAAACACAGTCTAATCTGCTGGTCACTGAGTTGCTGTGTAAGGGCCTTAATGGTGAGGATGAGGATGAGGTAGGTGTCACTTTGTCACATGCCAGATTTAATCCTGTTGGGACTGTTCCAGCAACATTCCAGTCATATGCTTGCATCTCTAACCTTTAAGGTAGCACTGCTCACAGCTGTTACCCATTTAAAGTCACAGGTGGTAATTGTTAGTAACAGCAAGTGCAGGTTAATACAATGGGTCCATAAATTCTGAGGACAGCAAACTCTTCTTGAGCAGCTACAACAAACACGCAACTGGTGTTAGCTACCTACAGCACAGCCAAACGTCCTTAATTTGTTTTGATAAAGAAGTCCGTCAATAATTGGCTTTTTTACACCATGCCATGAGCAACTAGGGTCTAACTTCATGCTGTGCACAGTGCAAGTAGTTTTCCACACAGTAGCAAGTCACAGTAAAGCTAGTTACCTTGCTGAGCAGCTGGAGGTGTGCAGTCTGTCACCTGCAACTCGCCACCTCTAAAGCTCACTGTGGTGTCTCTATCGTGTTCCATTATCCCCTCCAGTACATAAAACTGATCTACTTTCTTAAGTAAAAGTTTTTTTCTTTTGGATTATAACTTTAATGAGTCTGTTATAAATAAATAAATAACACTGCATCGGAGCAGTATATACGGTATAGTATTGCAATATTAAACCGCAATTAAAGACCAATCAAGTTATTACTGTATCAGAATGAGTTTTTGTCAAGACAGATAATTTCTCAACTGGCCTGTTGTCCCTGGCAACCCCTTCTCATTCATAACACACATGCATCCATTCATACACACACAAACATATATTCAGAAGATTTCTTTATGCTCGCTTTATGCTTGAGGAAAAGGCGCAAGACATAAAGATGATTCACCTGGTAGTGGGGGAGGGACTTGGATTTGTAATAATTGCATGCACCTAATGGATCACAGAATTCAAGGACACATTCACATGCAGAAACATACACATTCACAACCACACCCTCCACCACACACATACAGAGCTATTATTTACCAGACAAGCTTTATTATCAGTTTACTTGTCAAACTGACTGAATTCCTTCACATACCCAGGCCGTGGTTCCCACATTCCCCTCTCAGTGTCTCTAATCTTACTCTCTGTTTAAATAGAAGATGATCAGCTCTGTGAAGTTATCATTTAACCCATGGCTTAGTTTATTTATTAAATGTCTTATCTATATAATATACTGTAGCTCATGAGCACTCAGCAGGCTCCAAACCATGATTACCATATACAGTTTTTGTTTATTAACAGGCACGTGTACTGTTTATCCAGCTTGGTCACATAAGCACTTCTCCTATAATCCTTGAGGTGCCATTCCATTCAGCTGACTCTGTCAGTCAGCATCACACTGGTGTTAGCATTTTAATGATTCAGGCGGTGCTGCAAAGTTATGAGCACAGTGGTAGAGAGTGGGTGACTTGGTTTGTTGTATCACTCTGTGATATACTTTGGATGTTTCTTCCTTCTGTCACTTTAATGTCAACAGTCATTTTGTAATCAAACTCTGTGAACCCAGACCTGTCTGATATTTCTTCATTCTTCCAGTGAAGAATCTACAACTCTGCATCTTGTGTGTGTGTGTACATTTATAAAGATGAGGAATGCATGTGTAGTTGGTGTGCATGTGCCAGTTAAACTCGATTCAGTAAGAGTTGTCTAGTCTCTCAAGCCCTTCTTTTTCTTCTAATAAACACACGCCGTGATTGTGTATCAAGATCATAAAGAGGCCATTTTAGGATCCAACTTCACTGTTTCCAATTGTTCTGTATGTTCAGGTTCATATTAATGGTTGTGCTTGCTGGATCAGGCTGTTTTTTGAGAAGGAGCCGCATAGTTTGTGAAATAAAGGTTTGCTTTTCAGTCTTCTCACACAGGTTTTATTGACCCCACACACATAAAACCCTCTGTGATTAAACTGAACAGGCACTATAACACATTATGAAATAAGGTGCCCACATGACAGGTCTTTGCTCTTTGGGAAATGTATTCTGTTATCCCATTAATTTGTTGGAGTAAATTTTACATGTTTACATGTTATTTTGATTTTTGTCCACCGTTTCATTTTTTTATGATCTGTTTTAGTCTAAATAAATAACTAAACTGCATGAACTGCTATACAGCTTTATATCACATCCCAACTATTACTGTACAGATAATGATATGCTTCTTTTTCTTTTTTCCTTCTCCTCTTTCTTCTCTAGGACAGTATTTCATACCTATCTGTTCTCATCATACTAGTTTTCTTGCTTTGTTTTCTTGCATTGCTTGTCTCTTAGTCTATTTAAAGCAACTCAGAATTGTTTATAAAATACTGTATAGTCAATTACATAGTCTCCTACATGATTCCAAATACCTTTAGAACTAGAAAGAGGCAAGAGATGAGGGAGACCTTTCATATGTGATTTTCCATTTGTTTTTGAGCCAGTTCAGTTGTTCAGACCTTGGTTTTAGTTTTCACTGGAACTGCCTTCTGTCAAATGAATAGTTCCTGTGAAAACTTTTAATGCGTTTTTATATATTTGTTTGTCTTGCCTTAATGTAAAAGATTAGACTGACTGATGAGGAACTGGACAGGCTGCAAGTATACATCATTGTGACAGTCTCCTGGCAAGACTGATCCTTTTCCTGAATTCGGTCTCACTATAGACCAGAATGTACTGATAGTGTAGCACTGCTGCCAGTATAGACTCACACATGATAGGAGGAAAACCTCTGTACAGATTCTGTGTAAAGGCTCTGAATAAGAAACAGCTGAGTGGGAGACAGGTACTATGTGGAGAAAGAGCCTGAATGCAGGTGCTGACTGTAAACCGGTCTAGAGGGTTCTTTATAAAGCACCATTAAAGAAGAGGTCAGGTGATCTGCTGGGAGCACTGACCGTTAACATTTGAGTGTCTAAAATGAACCTCGCTGTGTCCGTATGCTGTCCTTTCCGTCACTTTTCTCTGGTTCCTGGAGTGTGAAAGACTTGCAGGGCCATTTCATCTGTTAAAAAGGTTGTTTATGGTTTTTGATTTTTTTAAAAATGGTCTGATGTTGCTTTGATTTTGGTGCTGGGTATAAAAGAGATGCAAAGAAGTGGCAGCTGTTGAACTATGCATGAGGACAGGCCAAAGTGTCCATTTATGAAGGCAGAAAAAATAAAGTAAGAGGTGTTTCAGATGCAGGTGTGTTCCCAATATCTTTGTCTTTGGAGAAGGCTGCAGTCAGAGGGAGATTATGTTTTTACTCCTTAATGAAAAACACTGATGAGTTTATTTCTCAGTGGTCTGTGATCTGTTCTGTTGTTGAGAGCAAGCTGTGCTTCAATCCAGTGTTTTTATGAGCTATATTTAATCCTTGTTTATTATCACTGTTTTATCTAGTAATTATGTCCTGCTAGGTTTGTCCTTTATTTAGTGATAAATAAACATGTTTTAAAATTCTTTCTCTCTCTCTCTCTCTCTCTCCTTTGTCTCTGATAACATTTCCATCGCTCTCTGCTGTGTTTTGCAATACTTCAAAGTAATCTAAAAATAACATCTTTACCTGGAGGAACCAGGAAATAGTGTGGAGCAGCTATCAGCTTTGTTGTTATAGATGAACTACAACAAAGAAGTTACTACTACATTATGCATTCAGGCAGTTATGCCTGATCTTAACAATAACTAGAACCAATGAGCATTTTATACATGCAGGCTTTAATTTTATGACATATATATACAAATGCATGAGGCAAAATATATGAGGTGTAATCACTGATAGTTTGGGTTGTTATCATGAAAGCAATGCATATGAATGTGTGTTTGTTACCCTAAACACTACATTGAACCACCCTCAACCTTTGATTTTTACAATATCACTGCAGTTTACTTTTCAATGGATGCTGGGGGACTGGTTTCTGAGTATGTCTTCATGTTTTGTCACCTTTCAGATGCAAACAATGGCCCATTTCCCAAGTCTCTTATATGGGTCCACTGTTCCCTCATTTGCATCTTAGTCCTGCCCATGTAAGATGCAAGGAAAAGATGCCAAGAGAGGAATTGAGAATGGTCTCTTGTATCCTCACTCATGGTTCCTCCAGCAGCCTCCTCACTCCTCAGAGCAGCTATAAAGCCTCGGAACATCCTCAATCCCCATTTGACCCAGAAGTCATTCCGGTCGAGCGAGGACCGAGGACCAAGGAATGATCATATAAGAGACTTGGGAAGCAGCCAACAAAATAACTTCTAGTAGAAAATCAGCTCCTCACCCCACCCAACAAGCCCGGACACACATTCACACACACTGTTATTTCTTAAAGAACCAGCTAAGGTGATTTCAGGCTACGGGCACAGCTAGATGAAAAACCGATGGATTTGTTTTATATATATTATATAGTGGTACTGAAGAAGAATGGTAGGAGTAGAGAAGGTGGTGGCTACAAGCCCTAGGTTCAGAAATGTGTTTATCTAGCTCACCACAGGGTGTTTAAGGACATTGCTGTGTGTACATGTGTGTCTGGTTTAGTATGTCCAAGCCTGAGTCTTTGTTTGTACTTTAACTGAAAAATTGAGATAATTTGAAAGGAGCTTGGGAAGCATGGTTATGACCCAGTGCTAGATGCAGTTTTGTAGTTTCTCTACCATAAATTTGATTGTATTGAGTCTAATTTCTATGTTGTAATGAGCATAGGAGCTAAGAAGGAGCAGCAAATAAACCAAGATTCCTGAGAATTTATTGATGGTGTGTTTAGTTTCCATCAAAACTAAAAAGGTTACTATAGATTTGTGTTTATCTCAAGGCTGCAAGATCTGAGGGAGCTGGGGGAGCTTTCTCCTCATTGGGACAACTTAAGGAAGGAGGTGATGACACGATATGGAGGAATCATCAGCTTCTACCAGGAGACATTGGCTGAACTGGACAAGGTTACTGGTACGACTTCTGAATTTTACTTTGATACCTGTGTTTACACATGCATGTAAACAAAGAGACATTATAGATGTAATTAAAGGAGTGACATATATAATGTCTGCAAATTGGTCCCCATGTTGATCTGCTATGACCCAATCATAGCTCAAAACAACGCTGTGGCCACAGACAAGTAAGGTTAAGTAAAAAAAAGAGAGGACTACTTTGAGCTGAAGGGTGGATTCTGGATGACCTATGTCAATGAAAAGCTTAGTGAGAGCTTGTTTCATTTATCTACTTGATGGCAAAGAGTTTCCATAGCAACACAGGTTTCATCGGGTGCAGTTAAAGTCCATGTGCTTTTCTGTGTTTTGTTAAATTCTTGCAGTGCATATAAAAACTGAAACAAATGTCTGCCATGTGAAAATAAAACCAGTCTTACTTCTCCTTTGCAAGTCCCTAATCATCTACTTAGTATGCAAATATTTTTGCACACTTTTTGCAAACGTTTTACATAATAAAATTACTCCACACACTTAACTCTAATGTGAACACTGAAAGTAATTAGGCTGTTTTTCATTTGGCCGTAACACTCAAGGAAACATTGAACATGTGATAATGCCACAGAATGCCAGTGATGAAGGGGTGTTTAAAATGTTTTTGAAATTGCTGTATGTAGGTCATGTATAAATCCCCAGACTGCCCCAGATTATAATGAATTTACTCTGATTTACTCTCATCCCCATAATGAGAGATTTGTCTCTGTTGTCTTTTTGCTTGGCCTGCCACCGCCTGCCAGGGTTCTGGGGGCTGGACAGTTAATGTGGTACTGGTCATTGTGGTTCCTGACAAGTCCCTTGTGTGGCCCAGATGTTGCAGGGCGCAGAGGAACCCTGACACTTTTTACCACTCTAATCTTGTCCTGCATTAATGTAAAAGGATGATGGACATTACAGACATGAAAATAAATTTCTAGTGTGTATGCACTGACTGAATAAAACTGATTCTGGTTCTAAATAATCTGGGTGGGTAAACTGTAGCTGTAGTATAATTATTGATTACTAATATGATGTAAAAAGTAGAGAAAAAAGTATGGAGGAAGTTGAGCATGAAGGCCAGAGGGTGAGCAGAGACTGGAGAGGCAGGGAATGGAATGATAATTACATAAACTAAACAAGTAGTTACAAATATGGGAAGTGAGCATTTGTCAGAAAAGAACATGAAAATAAAGTTAGTGGTTCTCAGTTTTATTACTTACATTATATCCATAAACAAATTAAGAACTTTTGGGGGTTGTATTTTTGCTTTCACAATATTCATAAGTAAGAACTAAATGTAGTCAGGATATCTTATAAGCATATACACAGAAATCCTAATCATATTTTACAGCAAAGTCTAGGTCTTTAAACAACAATAAAAATGTTTGGGAGAATGCAAAGTTCCCCACAGCAGAGTTAGAGGTTTCTACATTTTTAATGATGTTTTTAAACTAGCAGGGTTCTGCAGGTTTGCACATAGCTCCTAGGATTGATGTCCTTAAATCAGATTAGTTGTGCATTATATTAATTAGAGCCCAGCTTTAATGCACATATAATTTAAGGTTACTCCTGAATGAGGAGGTTTTTAATGTACAAAGAAGAACTATTCAGTGATCTGTGCACTTTTCATGGGCCTAATGGAGTTTTACTTAGGTTTCTCTCTTTTATTTGTAAGAAAGAAAACAAAAAACACAAAGTTTGATAAACTGCAGGTAGCAGGATAACAAGAGAAGTATACCTTTAGGAGGCAGGGCCACAGTTGGCATGGTCATGTTCAGTGCCCTCTCTGATTCCATTTTATCCATTCTTATGATGAGCTGACCTCAGTGAAGACTTCAGATTCTCTAATAACTGTACTCTGTGAATTAATCATCCCTATACCCTTTATTTACCAGCCAACAAATTAAAGGCACAGACCTAATCCTGTCAACGTGATGTTTGTTGGTCCTCCAACACGGCCGGTACTCCGCTGCACAGAACTACCAGTCACTCTTACAGTACACTCCACTTAAGGGATAACCACAGCTTAAGGCTCCAAGCTACAGATTATAGGTTAAGGCAGTGTCATATATCTATGTGGCTGGCAGTAAAGCTAGCTTTTATACAGGTAGAAAGACAGATGGACATGATATGTTACTTTGTCTCTGTATTATCTGTGACACACAGTAGTGTCTGCAGTCTGTTGCCTCCAGGAAAATACATTCTGGAGTGGAATGCAGAGATGTTTGCTATTTTTCAGGTTACTAAAGTTAACATGAGCCTAGTAATTATATTATAAAAGTAATGATGATTATTATTATAATAATTATAATAATAATAAAGAGAAGAGACTAAACATGGAAATGTTAAAAGGCATATACTTTACTATTAGATATGACTGATTTGACTGACTGATTACTCCACTGGTTTCTGAGTAGCATGCATGTATCCACTCCTCTTGTACTGTATGTCTACATTATATCTAACTGTGGATTGATTTTTTTTTAAGCCTGCTGTGCTCTCAGCACCACAGGATCATGAAGATAAATTCCTCAGCATGCTCAAACAGACCTACACTGATCTGACAGCCCTCACCTACAAGCCACTGTTTGTCCAGTGCTGCTTGTTGCAGTTTGGAATCTTGTGTTTATTTCTTCTCAGCTTGTCTTAAGGCACCCAGGCAGACATTACTAAAAGCATAGAATATTGGCTGCTCACCGTATTGAAGGAATCAAAGGAGTGTAGAAGTGGCTAAGAGTAAAGAAATGATAGGAAAGATTAAAAGAGGAGATACTGACTGGGTGCTGGTCAGTACTACTGGCATCCAGCCCTCCTGTCACATAGCCAGCCTACCTGAGCAAGCAGAGGGGGATCTGATATGGCTAATTTATCTAAACTACAACTGTCAGTAGCTTGATTAGATTGGTCCCCAGAGCTCTACATCTGACAGTGAGAACCCACTGAGCTAGGATGACAGCTTAGCTATTGAATATTAGCATTTGGTAACCACTCCTCCTAGCAGAGAAATGTGTTGACTTTAACTGGGTGAACAAATCTGCTCAAACAGTAGGTGGTGGTCAAGACTTTTTATTAGCCTCACAAGCAGTATGGCTCTGGGTAGATTATGTGTTTTGTACAGGTACTGATGATCCCTGGGGGATGAAGCCCATTGTTTTGATATTTTTCAAACTTCATTTTACCCAGTACTTTGGTTTATGACTCAATACCTGTAGAGTTTTTTGTGGTTGGCTAATTAGCCAGTGATAGCAAAACTAAAGACAGTGAATCTGGTAAATGTTACCCGCTAAACATCAGCTTGTTAGCATTTTCATTGTGAGCCTGTTAGCGTGTTGATATTACAGTAACATTTAACTCAAAGCGCCATCTAGTGGACTTTGATATTATAGTAGCAGAAAGGTGTACTTGGTACTGTATGAATTACTGAGTGTCTTAATGTTTTTCTGTTACCTAATACTGAGCGCATTCACTGTAGCACTGCAGACAGTTTCTATGTGTGGAGCTTACAGTTTGATCTTTACGATATTTGTTTGACAGATTTTCAATTCAGTTGGTTGAAAAAGCAGCTGCTTACATTGGCACTGTAATAAGTTGCAGGAAATGTGTCACTGCCTCAGAAAAAAAATACAGTAACTGATTTTGACTTGAAAATAAGTCACACTGCTGTCAGCTCCAACTGAGTCATAAGTGTTATCCATCCAGGTGCACTGGATTTATTTTTATGTGTGGCCATACTGCCAAATGGTGTTAAAATTCTGTGGCAGGTAACAGACTTTCTGCATGAACAAAGACTTTCTGTAGTACTGGGCTCTAACTGGTATATACTGGTTTGTTTCTTTGATAGTGAATGAAGGGGGAA